CCACAGGACATGGTTCCAGAAATCCATGTCCTTAGTCTGCTTGCCTGCAGCAAACCATCTGTGGGCTTTCTTGTGCATCATCTTTAGAAGAGGCTTCCTTCTGGGCCAACAGCCCTGGAAACCAATTTGATGCAGTATGCGGTGTATGGTCTGAGCACTGAGATGCTGACCCCCACCCCTTCAACTTCTACAACAATGCTGGCAGCACTCATACGTCTATTTCCCAAAGCCAACCTCTGGGTATGACACCGAGCACGGGCACTCAACTTCTTTGGTCGACCATGGCAAGGCCTGTTCTGAGTGGCAACTGTCCTGTTAAACTGCCATATGGTATTGGCCACGGTGCTGCAGCTCAGTTTCAGGGTTTTGGAAATCATCTTATAGCCTAGGCCATCTTTATGTAGAGCAACAATTCTTTTTTTTTTTCAGATCCTCAGATAGTTCATTACCATGAGGTCCCATGTGGAACTTCCAGTGACTAGTCTGAGAGACTAAGAGTGATAACACCTGCTCCCCCTTCACACCTGAGATTTGTGACACTAACGGGTCTCATGACACCAGGGTGGGAAACCAGCTACTTGGGCCCAATTTGGACATTGTCACTTAGGGGTGTACTCACTTTTGTTGCCAGCGGTTTAGACATTAATGGCTGTATGTTGCTTTGTTTTGAGGGGACAGCACATTTACACTGTTATGCAAGCTGTATACTCAGTGCTTTACCTTTCTTCAATGTTGTCACATGAAAAGATATGAAATGTGAGGGGGTGTACTCGCTTCTGTGATATACTGTAAGAGGAATTGACTTCCAGGTAAACTGCTAGGCTTGCAATGCAAAAGTAATCTTGTCCGAGAATGCTATTGAACACGAAAGCTTTGTCAACACTTCCAGCTTTTGTGCATTGTGTTTAAAAACCATCTGGGATTCTTTTGAGTACTAAGAACAATGCATATGAACATGTACTAGATGACTTCAACAAACAGAAGTTTTAAAATATTTGGAAAGGGAAAGGTAAACATGGGAGCTTAGTAGGTTTCCCCTTTTCCCCCTGCTTTGCTTTCTTTTACAAGGTATATTGTAAAATCTAGCATTTCTCAATTTGTTTTCACCTTTTCCTTTTTCTCCTCCTTTTCTTTTTTCCTGTTTACTAAAACAGCCATATATTACTGTGAGACATGTTTGTATAGATGCATGTGATCAGAACAATAATGATGCAAGGAAATTGTTTACATGCAATGTGATTTGTTTGCAATTGAATGGAAGCTAATGCAGTTATTTACAGCATAATGCAAGATACTAGTGTGAGGAAACAGCCTGTCAATGCTACTAGGTGGTCCAGAAGCATATTTGTCATTCTTCACATTGTTTAGGATAGAGTTTGGGGTGGTGAATAGAGTGATAACTAGGTTGAAGGCTACCTGAGTTCAAATTCCTTGTTTGGCTGTGGAAACTCACAGGTGTAGGCACAGGTAAAATCACTCCTTAAATATCTGATTTACCTTGAAAACCCTATTAGAGTCTCTATAGGTCAGTTCCAACTTGATGGTGCATAACAACAGTGGCATTACCGAATTGTTAAATTGCCACATTTATTTCTTTATTACCCGTTATATTATTTGTTTATTTAAGAGTGAATGACCCAAGCTGTCCTAGTGGGCTTCATCACTGAATGGGGATTTGAACCCAGGTCTCCTGAATACTTCTAATCATTACACCACACTGTCCCTCTTTGTGCTTTATGGGGCTGCAGAATATTGTGCCAATTTTCAAAAGAATAACACAGTAGTGCAATATGCACCTGCAATTCATATTGTGTGTTTTTTGTCTGTCCTTTTTGGGGTTGTTTCCCTTTCTGATTACTTCTGCTTCCTCTTGTCTTATCACAGATGGGGCTTACAGGTCCCATTGCAACTGGGACATATTAGTCAGGCTGAATGGAGGAAGGAATCAGTTTGGAGAAGGCTTTACGGGAATTGAAACCTGCCTTGCGTCTCAGTATGGGTACCAGCACCATGAGCATTGGTGCCTTCTCCCCAAAATCCCTACGAGTTGGTGCTGCTGCTTCAGAAGGAAGGCACAAAAGGGGTGCAAGGGAGGAGCTATTGTAGCTCATTATGTCCCTAGGCATTTCAGTTGCCTCCCTTCCCCTCTTCCTGACTTTTAAAAGGAGAAGCTGAACTACTGATGTCTGGATTCTAACTCTTAACACCAGAGGCATTGACCTTCCTGTCCTGGGTTGATGGGGATGATGGAACAACAGGAGTCCCATGGCTAAACCCAAGACCTGATCCTCCCTAGCTTCTTGACAGCCACCTGCATGTGCAGCCTAGACAGCTGAACAGTCTGGATAAGAACATTTGTCTGCCCCCTAGTTCCACTTCCATAGAGTGAGAAGCACATTCTAGTATACTCTTCCTTTTTCATTTCTTGCATCATTAAGGATCTACCTGGAAAAGAAAATCAGAAATCCTAGCGTGGTTACCAAAGAGCAAGAATAATTACACAGAATGGGATCAAATTCTGTAGTAGTGTTCTCAGAGTCCAATTTTGCTGCAGTTATGAGGAAGGGCATTACAAAATGTTAACATGAAGGAAACATTATTTTAATGGCCACTTTGGTGCTACATTTATAAAAAAAATTTGTCCAGCTGACTGTGGAAGAGTAGTGCTTCAGCAGTGGTAAATGCCCTGGTGTTGCTTACTCATAATTTCAAAAGGTTTTTGTTTTTTCCCTTTACTAAATCTAAAGATTAGCACTTGTGGTAGTTAACATAATGTTCATAATGACTTGCTCTTAAACATGTGTTCTAAATTGTTCTCCTTTTTTTCCCGTTTCTTGCACAGGAAATAAAGAAAGATGTGAAAAAAGAAAGTCTTGCCAGTAAAGCACCAGAAAAATCTATACTTGAAGTTTCCAATGGAAGTCCTTTATTGTTGTCTGAGACAATTATTAGAACTTCTAAAAAAGGTATTGTATATTTAATTTTAAATTCTGTTTTGGAATGGTTAAGACTAACATCTGCAGTGTTTCACACAGTAGCCAGATTACTTGTAATTATTACTGCTGTGTTATTCCATTGGTGCAGCTTTCTATGGCAAAATGCTGTGCAGGCACAAGTACTTGCAAACAATTGGTTAGTGCATGTATAATTTGTTAAGTATACATGAAGTCACAAGATAACAATTTGTCTGTAGTGTCTGGCCAACAATGGGAAAATTTTTCCATACCACAATTTCTGATCGGGTGTGGACAAGCATTACGAATTACTCTTATCGGGTGACTGAATGCCGCAGATTACCAGTTTTCCCCACACAGTTAATATCTGCCCCACGATAAGGTTATGCAGTCGTTATAGCCACCTGGAGAAGCTCAAAAAATGCTTTAATACCTTATTGTATGTTATCTTATGCATCTTCATAAATACATTATTATCAGAATGTACTGTATATTGTATGCAAACATCTCTTTCAGAAATACATTGAACTCTTTACATTGATACGGATTTGCAGTGGCTATCATATTATCATTATTTTTAAATACCAGTCCCTTCCTTGTTTTCTTACATTTGCTATATTTCAAAATAAACAGTTGCTTGACCCAATTGAAAAAAAAATGTGAATGTTTTGAGCATCTGATTGATTTTGATTTACTTGTGACTGTGAGTTTTCCTTGCTGCTTATGCTCTCTGGAGAGCGTGTAATTATTCAAGAGTTTATATTTCAAGAATAAATGCTGCCTTTTGTGCCATGGAGAGTTTTCTGAATCTCAGAGGCAAATCCATTGTGACTATTAAAAATGTGCTTTAAAATGTGTTATTTACGGTGGTCAGGAAACTGCCGGTTCTGAACATTCTTTTTGGAAACTCAGGCAAGATTGCTTAGAAATTGGGGATGTACAGTACATAGCCTGCAGATTTGGTCTGGATGCCAATTTGAAAAAGGCCTGGTTCTGCTTGAGCTGGTTTGGATCCCGTCTGCCTTCACTCAAACTGAGAGTCAGAAATACAGAGGTTTGTATCTCCCATTGATTATCTCAGGGAGTGCAAAAATACAGCTGTACCCTTTGTCCTCTTTGAATGAAATTAGAAGACATAGTATCCCTTCAGAAGGGAACTGCGTGTGCTATATGGCAAACGGATAAATTCAAGGGTTTGTGTGCCTGAGTAACCTTTCCATTTGGATGGTACCTAACAAAGGGAGAGTTCATTATGCACCGCAATCTCCTTATGTTTCTTGCAGAACCTTGTTATTGAAATGGCAGGCAGCATAAGGTGGCCCTAATTAAAAGAAAACCTTCAAAGTTTCAGAAGTAAAGTAATTCAGTTAAATGTAGTAGGTCAAGGGGGATGGGGTTCTACAATAATTATATTATATTAAAATGTTAGGTAAAATCATTACAACAACAACAACAACAACAACAACAACAACAACAACAACAACAACAACAACAACAACAACAACCCAGAAACAACAAAATATAAACCATCCCATTTATTGTTTCCTAGACAGTCACTAAGGAGGGAACTACTTGAAGGGAAAGGTATTTACAGCAAAGATGGAGCCAGCCTGGCCTCCTGAGGGAAGGAATTCCAGACTATGGGTGCAGTGACAGAGAAGGCCCTTTCCTGTGTCCCCAACCAAACACACCTGTGAGGGTGGTGGAATTATCTTAACACCCAGTCAGGCTCATGAAGGGAGATACAGTTTCTGATGGTTATAGATTAAAACCAGCACTTGGAATTCTGCCTGGAAGCAGATCCTCAGCCGCTGGAGCTACTGTAACAGTGGAGTTATGTAATCCCTGTCAGCCCCAGTTAGGAATCTGGCTGCAGTGTTTTGTTCCCACTAAAGTTTCCAAATACTTTCCAGAGGCAGCCCCACGTAGAGCATGTTATAGTAATCCAGCCAGAATGTAACTAAAGCATGTGTCACTGTAGCCAGGTCAGACCTGTCAAGAAACAGGAGCAGCTGGTGCACTAGTTTTGACTGTGCAAAGGCACTCCTGGCCACCGTTGAAACCTGGGCATCCAGACTCAGAGATGAATCCATGAGCACAGCCAAGGTGTGCACCGGTGTTTTCAGAGGGAGGACAACCTTATCTAGTACAATCTGAAACCTTATTTCTTGATCTGCCTTTCAACTGACCAGGAGCACCTCTGTCTTGGCTGGATTAAGTTTCAGTTTATTTACTGAATAAATTACAGTTTATTTACTTACTCAGTGCATTATTGACATCAGACACTGACCTAGAGCCAAAACAGCTTCTTTGGATTTCGATGGAAAGGAGAGATGAGGTTGTGGTTACGAATATGGTTACAACTGTGTCCAGAGCTGCCGGGGTTGTGGTTACAAATATGGTTACAACTGTGTCCAGAGCTGCCTTAACTAGGTTGATGTGTATTGTCCAAGTTTGTCCTTCCCTGGATGAGAAATCCCTCAGGACCTTGGTTGCATGCATTGGTTGTTTCCCTTATCCAGTACTGCAATGCTGTCTACTTTGGGCTTCCATTGGGTCTCACCCAGAGATTGCATCAAGTCCAGAACACGGCAGCCAGACTGGTGGCTGGTGTACATAGGTTTGACCACATTTCTCCAATCTTGTCTTGCCTACACTGGTTACCTGTTGCATCCTGGGTCAGATTCAAAGTCTTGATTATCCTCTATAAAGCCCTTCATGGTTTGCGACCATGTTACTTCTTGGAGGTTATCACTTGACCCACTAGGTTCTCCCGGGCCATGGGCCTTCAGGTAGCCACTCCAAAGGAGGCCAAGAAAACGTCCTGTAGAAGTAGGGCCTTCTTTGCTGTGGCTCTAATGCTTTGGAATCAACAATTGGCAGAACTGAGCCTGTCCCACCCCCTCCCAGCTTTAAAAGATCTTTGAAAACATTGCCTTAGAGAGAGGCCTCCTTTTTTGGCAACCTTGTTTGATCTGTTTTTCGCTGCTCTATATGGCAGGCGGATGGATGGATGGATGGATGGATGGATGGATGGATGGATCCATCGATCGATAGTGTATCTCTGGTGACAGAGAACCCATAACTGTTAATTGTGGGCTAGTCCATTTCAGCACTCAAACTAGTTAGAAGGTCCCGATTCTGCTCCAGTGTCAGCAAAATCCAGTGCACCTAGAATCATGGAACAAAGAAGTTGGAACGGGCCTATAAAGTCATCAAGTCCAACCCCTGCTTAATGCAGGAATACAAATCAAAGGTCATCTGCTAGGTGGTTGTCTAATTTTCTCTTGAGGGCCTCCAGTGCTAGAGCATTCACCACATCTCTAGATAATTGTTTCCATTGCCGTACTGTTCTAACAGTTAGGAAGTTTTCCCTAATATTGACCTGGAATCTGGCTTCCTGTAACTTGAGCCCATTGTTGTGGGGCCTGCACTCTGAGATGATGGAGAACAGATCCTGCCCCTCATCTTTATGACAGCCTTCCAAGTATTTGAAAAGTGCTATCATATCTCCTTTTAGTCTGCTCAAAGCTAAAGCTGTTCTATCAGTCTTGTCTCCTAATGCTTGTCTTCCATCCCCCTCATCATTCTTGTTGCCCTCTGAATTTGTTCCAATATGTCATCCAGTATGACATCACCAAGAAAAGACATAATGCGGGTCTGACTCAGAATTGCCGTTATCAAAAATGGTACTTTAGGCAGTGTGTTCCTCTGCCATATGTTTTTCTCTAATGACATTGAAAGTGCAAGTATCATCTTAAACTAACCAAAAACAGTTTAAAACCAGCCATACCATGTTATTGTAAACCCTTTCTTCTCCTTAGTCTCATACCACTTGCTTGCCACAGCCCCCCCCCTTGCTCTTGTTCCTGGACCTTCCCTGTCCTTCTGATTAAAAGCTGCCCTGTATATCCTGTCCACTATAAACAAAAAGAAAATCCCACACACCATATTTTGTGTTGTAGTCCCCATGTGTTGTACTATGTTAAGTTTTATACATGCTGCCAGCACTTTCTAAATATTCAAAGCTTAATTTTTTTCTCCCCTTTTTGATTTTGAAGGAATTAACTGCTAGTCTGTTCTGACAGCAACAAAACAAAAGATATTGTGGCATGTTTAAGAGTCAACATTTGCTGATTCTAGTCCGTTTCTTCACACACACAGTCTGTAGGATTCTGAAGCAGTGGCATATAATTCACAAAAGCTCATTCTGAAATAAATCTTGCAGCCTTAAATATTTCCAACACTCCTGTTTTTGTTTTGATATTGTGTTTGCCCACTTTCTTTTCATAACCTTCCTTTTCTTTTGTTCTTTTATACGAGGGAAAGAAGAGGAAATGTGTTAGGTGGGCTGGAGAAAATAAGTAAAAGTGGAGTATTAAGAAGATTGGAGTCAAAAGGAAGTAAAGTCTTGAGAAATTAGGTATGAAAGAATAGTAGAAGAGGAAATTTCAGAAACATTCCCTTTCGGTACTAATTGTTGGCATGTTACATTTCCTCATAATTCAAAGATAAAATGTTAAAATCTTCACCTAATGTACCCCATTGGGTGATAGGCACTAAACTAGAATTGTGCTTCTGGACTGCCCTGCCCAGATGGCCAGTTCATTGCCACTGGAATTTTTGTAAAACTCTTGACCACAAAACCTACAGAACAAGAGGTTTCAAGTTGTTGGTCCAACTTTGGGCGTGCATTGGCTATTGTACTGATTCAATTTAAAATATAACATGAAATTAAAAGACACATGCTTCTTGGGAGGAAAGTGATGACAAATCTAGACAGCATCTTAAAAAGCAGAGACATCACTTTGCAACAAAGGTCCGCATAGTCAAAGCTATGGTTCTTCCAGTAGTGATGTATGGAAGTGAGAGCTGGACCATAAAGAAGGCTGACCACTGAAGAACTGATGCTTTTGAATTGTGGTGCTGGAGGAGACTCTCGAGAGTCCCCTGGATTGCAAGGAGATCAAACCTATCTGTTCTAAAGGAAATCAACCCTGAGTGCTCACTTG